GCTGGCTCTGCCTCTAGATAGGCAGAGCCAGCTGTCACTCACGGAGCTGGATGAATCCAGACATCTATGTCGGGATCCGCTCCGGCTGCGGCGTCTCAGTATACCGCGAGCTGTAGCTCCCTATATACTGAGCTTAGGGTGACGGGAGGACGCTAGTTTGTGTCCTCCCGTTACCCTAAGGAGAACTATGGGGGAAAGCCCTGACCCCATAGTTCTCCTTTAAACCCGGCCTGCACACGTACAGATTGCTGGATCGTCTCCAGCCCGCCTCCCCGTGCTTCTGTGTCCTGCGATGACCTCTTCCTGTGATCTGCCTGTCCCCTGGATTGCCCGGACTACTCTTGCTTGCTGCCTGCCACTGACCTCGGACTGAATACTGGACTTGTCTCTGATCCCTCTGTACCGTCTACGCTCTCCTGGTTTGACCTCGGCTTGCTTTGACCCTGATTTCCGGATCACCCCTGCTCAGCTACAGAAGCAACCTTCTGCTCGCACGGTTTCAACACCACCGGCACCCGTGCCACTCGCTGTCCGCAGTGGTGTATCTTGATTTTGTGCTGCCCTAGGCAATACGAAACCCGAGCACCCCCCATCCCTAATCTAAAGTAGTCCCGCCCCTTCCTGTTTAAGACATTTTGCATAACCTGTCAGCTGTGGGATACAGCGCGCACGGCGTATCTAGATTCTGACAGGTTGCGCTATCAACGTAGCGGGACGCTCTAGTTCTACCTTTGCAATGGCCGCCTTCTCCATTCCTGGCTTGATGGGCTCCCTAGTTCTGCAGCTGCAACACCGATCTTCTTCCTTAATATGATGGGCCCTTAATATGGAGGTCCGAACTGCCAGTGCATCTGGACGAAGGTCACACACACCAATACATTGCACAGCACATTGACCAGGAAGAGGAAGGAGCTGCAGCATACATGTAGGAGTAGGCGGCATAGGTGGACACGTTGATCCCAACCCAGTGAAAGAAGCACCGGGTCCAGGGGTACTGGCAGTCATTTATGAATAATATATAATATAATTAATTTTTTCTCTCTCACCTAACTGGTTTGGGGGGACAGCATTTTGCGGCGCCCCCCTGGAAAGTGCCGCCCTAGGCAAATGCCTAGTTTGCCTTGCAGTAGATACACCCCTGGCTGTCCGCCAGGTCTCTGTCTTCACTTCCAGAGGCCTCAGGACACGAGGTGCAAGGGAAGCCTCCTCACGCGGTCATTCTCTCATCCAGGTAAGTGACGCAAACATTCTTATGTCATCCTGGACGGGACTGTCAAGCTAAAGCAGGGGTAGCCAAACTCCGGCCCTCCAGCTGTGGTGAAACTACCAATCCCATGATGCAAAGCCGAGGAGCGCGGAGAAGAGGCGGCCGATGTACTTCTCTTTGGCCAGGAGAAGGTAGAGCTTCTTCCGGGGCCAGCTGATGTACGTGCTGTCCGTCTCCGCCGTCAGCGTGACCTGAGAGACGGGAACATTGTTACAAATAAAAATATTACTTTGTATCAATTCCCCCTCCCCCTCCCGTGATAAGACTGCAACATTGTATCCAGTCACAAGGCGGGAGGCTGCAGCAGAAATTTGTGAACACAGCCAGGAGCTGTGCCGGCATCCCGATGCAAGAAGTAGGCGGTGACCCCCCCTGGATGACACCTGAACAAATATGGCTACAGAGTGAACAGCGTTGTCACCCTGATACAGGAAGTGGAAAAATAGCGGCTCTACTGGCGGGATCAACAGGTAATAAAACTATGGGGGGAGGGGG